ATTATTTATTATATTATTTATGGCATCAAGCGTGTACAGTATGAGCCAATCAGTGGCAGTAATGACAGAGCATGCGCTGTTACGCAAAAACCACGATAGAGTGAAGCCGCGGAAGTCGAAGCGCAAAGTGGCGAGGGTTCACTGTATAGCCATGGAGCCCGGTAGAGTGCCCGTGGGTGAAGCTATTTCAACCACCCAGCTGCTCTACGGGAGAAAGGCCTGGCCCCTCTGCTTCTGTCACGATGCCACATGGGGCCCAGATGGGTGGGAACCTGCCCGGTGGCACCAGAACAGCCATGTGTTCTAAGTCGATGAAGGTCCCCACACGCACTTGAAGGGTGTGTGCCTTCTGCTGTTGGTCAGAATGTACTGGAACCTTCACTTAGGTCAGGTTGGCTGACGGGTGTTCAGGTTTCTGTACAGCTGTTCCCTGCCATACAGCAGGCTTCTGTTCTGGTAAGTCACCTCTGATGTAAATCCAATGCCTCTTTTATTTGTCTCTCTCCTTTTTATGATTCCATTGTTACAGCCTTTAATTATCCATCGCTCTATCAGTTCAGTTTCTGTTCGTCTTTGGGAGTTGGCAACCTTACGGGTGTGCATGCAGATATATTCTCCTGCGCAGGAATAGGAAAAACGGGCTGCCGTTACAGAGTAACAACTCCACTTGTGGGAGGTCCAGGGGAGTCTGGCTTACCCAGCAAAGGTTACTTGTGGAAGGCTTTCTTAAAGCTCGTGGAAAGAGTGGCTCACAGGGGTGGTTCAGTTCTTTCCTGGGGGGCTGCCGGGCTCCACAGTTAACTGGATGGCAGTGGTTTGATTTTCTAGTGAGGAGATTCAGTGAGAGTTTAGCGGTCCTTTTATTTTTTTTCCCTTTTATTTCTAAATTTATTTTGTGATAGAACATTTTGCTGCTTCCAAATCGATTGACTTCAGCCCCAAAAGGCAACGAACTGGACTGTCGTACGGGGGGCCATTGCCCCTCAGATAGCATCGTAAGGACGGAGCCTGCGCGTCTCGGGTGGTCGATGTCCTGGTCTTGTCACTGCTCAGACATCTAACTGGTGTTTAAATGTTCTGTGTACGGATGGGATTGGGTCAGTGGGAGCCGGGCATTGCTTTGGCTCAGTCTGGGTGTAGGGCAGCACCGCTCTGGCACCAGTGGGGCCTTAGTGTTCTGGTCAGCTCCATCTTCAGTGCGCTGTCATGGCTGTCTCAAGCCACAGGCCGGGCATCAGTGCCACCTGCCTAGACCCCCGAGCGTGAGGTCCAGAGCCTGGCATCCCAGGCCTTGACAGCTGTTGGGATCCGCACCCACCCACCCTTTTGTTGGGAGCTAATACAGAGATCATATTGTTCCATAGTTCCACAGCTGGTTTTTAACCACCGCTCATTCCCCTCTCTTACCCTGTGTCACCCAAATGTATTTCCTGTCACCGTTTCTGGGATCTTGGCACCTGTCTGTCAAATAACCCCTGCTCTCAGGAACCAACCCAAATGTTTCCTCTCTTGGGTTTCTGCCGGAAGCTACATCCCGTCGCCCCTCCGAGGCATCTTGGCCACCCCCCAGCATCCCCCAGTCACTGCACCCCTGGTTTTAACTCGTGCCTGAGAAGTATCATCGGCTCTCGTATTGCACAGCTGTGCGTGAGGACCCGAGGGACAGATTGGGGTGGATCCCCCTGGGATTCAGCCCACGTGTTTTGCTTGCACCCAGTAGGGCAGGCTGAGGGCTTCCAAGGAAACGTTCCTGCCTCCCCCTCCCTTTCTTCCCGCTATGGCTTGGGATGGACATTGAGTTGGGTCTGCACGTGGTTGCCCCTGCTTGCTAGACCGAGGAAGACGGGGAGGGAGAAATGGAGTCCCTCCGTTGGAAGCTGGGCTGCTAAGGGAGATGGCGAGGGCGCCGTGGCCCCCGGGGGACTGGGCACTGCTGGGTCTGGCCCGAGAGTTCCCCCAAGAGTGGGAACCTGGCACCCTTGACGGTGCTGCTCAGGGTGGCGGAGCTCTCTCTGTGCTCAGGGTGGGCTGGACAAAGAAAGGAGGGTAGGGGAGAAAGGGGACAGGAAGAAAGGGGGTGATGTCCCCCGGGCCAAAGCAAGGTGACCCCTGGAGGTGGGAAGGGGCTGGCCCACGGGAAGTGGCTGAAACCACCTCCTGAGGAAAGCACAAACCAGACTCACCGCCCTGGAGTGCTGCATGGACTCCCAGTGACCCGTCCACTGAGGAAAGATGGTGGGCTTTGCCGGGTAGAGGGCCACGCATCCCCTCTGAGGACGGGAGGGCGGGTATGCTGGCCTCTGAAGGTGTGAAACCCACTCCAATCTCACCCCCATGCCCAACCCTCGAAAATGCCCCCCAGCCCCGTACCCGAAATCCCACTTAGACGGAGGCCCAGGCCCTCTTCACCTGGTTTGTGGGACCCTTGGGGGCTTCTCCCTGGACGGGAAGGGTGTGGGATGGGGTGACTTCTGGCCCGGGTCCTCTGTGCCTGGAAGGTAAGGGAGAGGGCTGTGCTCCCAGAGGCCTTGCTGTTTCGGACACCGGGCAGCTGCATGAAGCTCAACTGCTGGAAGTTTGGGCGAGAATTTCCCTGAAGTAAAATCACAAATCTGGAGTGTCATTGGCTTGTCCCTTGTCTCCAGGATGGGGGTGGCATCGGCCCTGCTGGGGCCAGACCCCCAAGAGCTGCGAGTGCCCGTCTGGGGAAAGGGGGGGGCTGCGGGGGTGGGATCTGATGTAGGAGTAAGACCTGCCCTTCGAAACCCACCAGCGGCTCTGAGGGGGAAAGACAAGGCTTTCTACTCCCGTGAAGAGTTACAGTCTTCGAAACCCACAGGGGCAGCCCCCTCCCCCCCCCCCCCCCCCCCCCCCCCATCCCATAGTGTCCCTTCGAGTTGGAAGCGAGTCTGGTTTTATAGCAAGAGCTGATCACACAGGAGGAGCCAACGGGGCTTGGCGATCGGGTTGAGCTACCTGCTGCCAGGTCAGCAGATGGAAAGTACCGGCCACTCCGAGCGTGGAAGACAGGGCTTTCTACTTGTGGAAAGAGTCCGGGCTTGGAAACCCACAGGGGCAGTCCTGCCCTGTCCTAGAGGGTCACTGTGAGTTGGCGTCAGCCCGAGGGCAGCGAGTTCGGTTTGTTTTGGTCAAGCTGTGGTTTCAGAGCTGAGTTAAAAATCCATGACCATCGTGCCAAGCTCTTTGAGGAGACCAAGGACAATGGCCAGGCAGGGTCAGGGCAGTGAGCTCCAAAAGGAAGGGGCTCCTTGCTTGGGGCCCTCTAGTGGCAGCTGACCTCTCCACACTGCAGGGGGAGGGATGAGAATGGCGAGCCGCACAAAGCCGGGGCCTGTGAGGGGAGGCTCAGCCTTGGCTCCGCTCACCAACGAGTTCCCAGTTTGTGACACCAACCATTGTCCCCCACAGCGCTCTGCTTCTCTGCGAGACTTGCTGAGCTGTCTCGGTGGCTACACAGGCCCCACGGACCACACTCAGACCGACCCGGTTTATTAGGGAAGTAACGGGACAATCCAGAAGGCAGGCTACAGGTTCCAACCAAGACAGCTCTCTGATGCTTCTCCGCCCTGCCCACACTGCCAGCCCCCCTGGGCAGCTGCTACAGGTCTTTAGCTCCCTTGGCACGGGCCCAGAGGCATCTCGCCATGCTGTGCCAGCCGGCCTCCTGCCCAAAGGTGCTTGGCTTTCCTGCTCTGTGTGAGTCGCAGGCCTGCTGAGGACGCCGTGGCCAGGTCTCAGCTCTAGGACGTTCTCCGGACAGCGTGGGGCTTCATCCGCGACCAGGGAGAGCATCGCTTTTGCAAACTAACCAAAGCTCATTCACCCATGGGGTTCGGCCCGAGGAGGGGATCCAAAGCAGTGCAGGGGCTACCATGCCTGAGCAGACGGGGGTCTCCTACCATGACGGGTGTGCACTGTGGGGGAGGGGCCTTGGGTCCAGAAGGCATGCTCTGCTCCCGGCTCTTGATGGGGACGAGGTCCCTCTTCAAAGTCAGCCCTTAGAAATCTAGCAGGATGGCAGCACTGACCAGACCCCTCAGTAGACTAAAAGTCTCCGGGTTTACAGAGCAACCTGCCAGCCCCTACACGGGTTTTATGCACCTTATTTGCATAGCAAATAGACCACGCAAGACGGGAGCGGGGCGTAAGTTAGACCAAGCATGGGTGGGCTGTGGCCTGGCCAGTGATTTTGGGCAGAATTGGAAGCGCAAGGCCAGAAAGGCCACAGAACCCCGTGGTACTGTACCTCTCCCAGCCTAGCCAGAATTTCCTTTTTATTTTTCAAAAGAGGCTAAAGATGTCAATTATGGCAAAGTTACCAATTTTTAAATTCTGTCTCAAATGTATTTAATTAAAAAAAAACAACTAGCGGCCAACAAGCCAAACGTGCAGCCCCTCACTCAACTGTCCCCTGAAAGATGGGCGTGGTACACGTGAGACTGTCTCTTCCTCTTCCACCTCCTCCTCCTCGTTGGACAGCAGTGGGAAGTGGGCCTGGAGGTCGAGCTGCCCGCTCCCACTCTCCTTGCCCCCGGTGCCTCTCCGGGCTGTCAGGATCGGGACGCGGCACCTTCCGAGGCACACCGTCACTGTTGATGTCATCCCCACAGTGGAACGGAGGCGGAGGGACAAGATCAACAACTGGATCGTCCAGCTTTCGAAAATCATTCCAGACTGTAACGCAGACAACAGCAAGACGGGAGCGGTGAGTGCCTCCGCGCGCGCGCGCGCACCACCCCCGGCCCCGCCCGTCCCTCCGTCCGTCCGTCCGGGGGGTGGGACCCCAGGCACAGGCAGAGTTCCGGGGGTGGGTCCGTGGGCAGAGGCGTGTCGTGAGCGCTGAGTGACCGCTCCTGACCCAGAGCAAAGGCGGCATCCTGTCGAAGGCCTGCGACTACATCCGCGAGCTCCGCCAGACCAACCAGCGCATGCAGGAGACTTTCAAGGAAGCGGAGCGGCTCCAGATGGACAATGAGCTCTTGAGGCAACAGGTGGGTGCCCGCACCTGGAGCTGGCCTCGGGGTGGGGGGAGCCCAGGAGCGCCCACGGGCCAGGAGCCGGCCCTGTGCCTCACCCCTGCCTGCCATGTGCCCGCCAGATCGAGGAGCTGAAGAACGAGAACGCGCTGCTTCGTGCCCAGCTGCAGCAGCACGGCCTCGAGACGGTGGGCGACGGTGCCCGGCAGTGACGTCCCCGGGCCCCTGCTGCCCCTCCCCCCAGCCCTTAGCACAGAGAGGGACGGATGCCCCTCCCCCAGCTGCGTTTTTTTATAGTAGATTTTTAACAAAAACGGGGAGAAATAATGCATTTCTGTGGATACAGCCCCCATCACCCACCTGAACTTGGAAACGACATTGCCCCTCACCTGTCTGTCCCCCTCTCCCTCGCCCTCCCCGCCTCCCCTGGCACATCTAGCCCTGCCTGGAGGCAAGAGGGAGGGAGGGAGACACGGGCCCTGCCGGACCCTGAAGCCTCCTGGGTCTCTACAGGTGCTGAGACAGGGGGCTAAGGGGAAGGAGAGGAGCTTCAGGGGGCTAAGGGGTCCTCCCCAGGGCCTGAACCTTAGCAGGGAGGCCACGTCCCATCCTTACCTCTTGTTTCTGGAACCCTGCTCCCCTTTGGGTGTATGTGTGTGTGTGTGTGTGTGTGTGTGTGTGTGTGTGTGTGTGTGTGTGTTTTAATTTTCTTTATGAAAAAAAAAATGGACAAAAAAAATAGAGAGGTATTTAACTGCAATAAACTGGCCCCAAGCGGCCCCCGCCTTGTCTGTCTGTGTGTCTGGGATCTACCTCGCTCCTGGAGAGCATGCTCCCTACTACCCCGGGTGCCCCGCCGCCGTGGGTGGAGGCAGGAGTGAAGGGATGCTTGGCCTCTGGGGCCCCAGGGGTGCGTGTGTGGGGACCTGGGGTCAAGGACGAGCCTCTTGGTACCGGGGTCTCCCCCGGCAGCAGTTCATATCACCAGGACTGGCTCCTGCCTGTCCCTTCCAGGTTGAAGCCCTCCCCCCTGAGCCAGCCAATGGTGGGGCCTGGCCTTGAGCCCCTCACCCCCTGGGGAGGGCCCGGGGCCAGGACGCCAGGCTTGGCCCGTCAGCCTGTCGCCAGGAGCTGAGGCTCTGGCGCCTGTGAGTGACCCCTGGCCCTGAAGGATGATGAAACCCAGTCTGAGCCTAGGAGCAGGGTGCCTGCACCGCTGACGTGATACCCAGAGCCGTTCCCGGGGTGGACCTCACTCGGTCCCCTCCACAAGTCCAGGCCTGTCTGTCAGCTCACCCTGTGAATTCTGCCCCCTCCTCAGATGTCTCCAACTGGCCTCTGGAGGCCTGTGTCCTGGGTCTCCCTTTCCTGGCCTTTCCCCTGCTGGAGGCCACGGTGGAGGGTGGGGTTCGCAGGGAGCAGGCCTCCCTTGGCAGGGCGAGTCCCCACAGATGGTTTCTGACTCCTGGGAAGTCATTTCTCAACAGCATGGGTGACAGTGGTGTGCTGGGGGACCAGGGCGCCGCACCCCCAAAACAAAGCCCAGGTATGTAGTGCTTGCAGCTGGTTGCTTATGTGAATACTGTCACCCCAGCTGACCCCAGGGTGCCCTGCCTAGGGTTGGGATGAGGTGGGCCCACTCTCCTCTCAGGAGCCAGCCCGAGCCGGTCCTGGAGCAAGAGGCCTCAGAGCCAGGCTGCCCACCTGAAGTCCCAGGCACGCTCCAGAAGTCTGCCAGCGAGTCCGTTCCCACACATAGCCACCCTGTAGGGTGCAGGGGAACTGCCTCCTGGGGTTCCACAGCTGCAGATCTTCATGGGAGCAGAAAGCCTGATCTTTGTCCTGAGGAGCAGCTAGTGAGTTCGAACCACTGGCCTTACGGTTAGCAGCCCAGGTCAAAGCTCGTGATGGCACCAGGGCTGGTAGGGCCCCTGAATCAGGTCAGAGCTGGGGCTGGTGCAGGCAGCTGGCAGCTGCTCATAGACAGCTGGTGGCGCAGCTGAGTCCACACAGCGGTGAGTCCGTGTGTGTGCCAGGACAGTGCCTGGCATGGAAAGCATTTATCCACTCGGAGCTTGCTTTTTAAAAACACTTTTTTTTTTTAGTTAATTCCAATTCTTAGGAACCCTATATAGGGTTTTTGAGGTTGTACAACTTTTTTTTTTAATCATTTTACTGGGGGCTCATACAGCTCTTACCACAATACATCCATTGTGTCAAGCACACTTGTACATTTATTGCCAACATATTCTTCAAAACATTTTCTTTCTACTTGACCCCTTGGTATCAGGTCCTCATCCCCCCCCTCCCTCATGAACCTTTGATAATTTATAAATGATTATTTTTCCATGTCTTATACTGACTACTATCTCCCTTCGCCCACTTTTCTGCTGTGCATCCCCCTGGGAGGGGTTATATGTCCATCCTTGTGATTGCACCCCCCACCATCCCCTTCCCCTGCTGGGACACTTTTTCACACAGTTCACACCTCATTCAAGTCAGTGGTTTAAATAAAGAGTTGGGCAATTGTCACCACAGTCATTTTTAGAACAGTTTCTTCTTTCTTGTTGATATCTCCCCATCTGCCCCCAGGCTCCCTTGCCACACTCAGTGGCATGGAGTCAGTGGCACTACAGGACAGGGTAGAGAACTACCTTGTGAGCTCTGGGACTACAGCTCTACAGGAGTAGAAAGCTCTGTCTTTTTCAAGGAGCTGCTGCTGGCTTTGAACTTGATTTCTACAGCAGCCCTCCAAGTGACCACTCTGCCATGACTGGATGGCAGTGAGTTTCCCCGTCCATAGCCCCCCAACAGCCAAACTCACTCCATCCTGACTCAGGGTTGAACTGCCCCAGTGGGATTCTAAGACTAACTCTTCACAGGAGTATAAAGCCACGGTTTCTCCCCCAGAGTTGGCTGGTGGTTTTGAACTGCTGACCTTGGGGTTAGAAACCCAACATGTAACCACAATAACAGCGGCTCTCGACCTGTGGGTCGCGACTCCTTTGGAGGTCAAACAACCCTGTCACAGGGGTCGCCCGATACATAACTAGCAAAATAACAGTGATGAAGTAGCAATGAAAATAATGTTCTGGTGGGGGGTCACCACCACACGAGGCACTGGATGAAAGGGTCGCGGCCTGAGGAGGTGGTGAACCGCTGCTCCGTGGATGCACCTGCACCTCTTGGTGCCCTGCTGTCTTTACTGTTGAGCCCCTTGCAGTCTCAGTATGAGGGGCACTTTAAGGGTTGCCTCTGGAGGTTTACTGGGCATCGCTTTGAGGGCATGTTGATGGTGTTGAATGTGACAGGCTGGCATTATGGCCTTGCTACCAGGATCTGTGTATGTGTGTGTGTGTAGAGACCCCAACAGTGCAAAGCTCCCCTAAGCCCTGCCTCGTACCTGTGAGGTGCCTGGTAGGTCATGGCTGTCTTACATGTGGGGGTAGCTGGGGGATGAAGGGGCGGGGGCAGCAAGGAAGTGCGAGGGTGCCTTGTTCCTGGTCACCAAGCTGTTCAGTTTCTGGGAACAAGATGAACCTTTTCCTGAGCCTGGCGGGGTGACGTCATGTTGGAGAAAGGGTACCCCAGGTGGCCTGCTGCAGGCACACATCGGTGGCTGGCCCTGTCTGCCCCACCCCCCTGGACACACCTCCGCTGGCTGAGGGTGACACAACCCTGTTTTCTGTTCCCGCTTATCTCTTCCCACCTTTTTGGCGCCACCACCTTCTTGGAAATGAGTCAGGACAAGGGGGCGGGGGCTCAGCACCCCACCCCACCCCCACCCCGCCGGCCCCATAAAAGGGACGGCACCTGGTCCCCAGATACCAGAGGAAGCCCCAGACTCAACAACAGGACAGACAGCCAGACTTGCAATGGCAGTGACTATTCGGTTCCAGGCTGTCTGCGTCCTGCTGCTGCTCCTGGCCAGCCTGACCAGCGGCCAGGCCCTCCAAGACCAGGTAAGAGCCATCAGGACCCGGGCCCCAGCGGGCAGCGGCGGAGAACCAGGCCAGCACGGGCTCCCCAGGCCCGGGAGGGCAGCTGCTTAAAGAACGCGATGGGGAGCTGCGGGAGGGGGACTGGGCTTCCTAAACTGTGCCCTGGATACCACGATGCTGGCTGCTCTGGTTACAAGACCCCAGGGGCCATTCTGCTCTGTCCTGTAGGGTGGCTATGAGTCAGCACCGGCTCTATGGCCGTGAGTTTAGGTTGGTTTTGTTTTTATTGTGCCAAGTGCTATTCAAGACACCCGAACTGAAACAATGCACAAAGTAGATTAAAGACGAGATTTGGGCTAAGCGTAATTAAGATTACAGGTTCTGTGCATGCAGGCCATTTCAGAAATAACGGAAGAGGGTGGTAGGGTGGCCATGGTGGGGGTGAGGGTGGGAAGCACTTCAAAGACCTACCAAAGCTGCTTTGCGACACGGTGAAGTTGGAGTTGTAGCATGGACGATCCAGGCCGAGGGGACCCTAGACCCTCAAGGATCAGACAGTGTACCGAGCGAAGGAGATGGCCTTTGGAGATGAAATTGAGGCAAGGGCAGGGGTCAGATCCCCTAAAATCTAGCGGGCAGTTGTGTAAGCACTGATGTTTTCTTGGAGGCATGGGCTGGAAGACAGGGGAGGCATGATCCAATGGCTGGTACCACAGGCTACTGCACTGTGTGGAGAACATTGGAATGCTGGGGGCCTCAATGCAGGGCGATTACTCTAAGGGGGTTCCTGGCATCCAGGCAAGAGGGGGCTGTCCCGGTGAAGGGCAGCAACTATGGATAGAGAGGGGGATCCTCTGGGATGGGCTTAGGGGAGGTGAGACCCCGAGACGCACCCTGCCATCTCACACGGCCTTCTTCTGCAGCCAAGACAGCTTGCCAACTACCGGGCTCAAGGCACAGCTGAAGCCAAGGCTGGCTTGATGGTGAGGCCTCCTGGGATCCCCTTCCCAGCCACCCCCCTTCCCTTCCCCATGCCCTCTGGGACCCCCTTCTCAGTCACCCCCTTTCCCGCCCTGTGCCGGGCCTCTCTTCCTTACTCTGCCTTCTCCCACAGGCGGTGAGCCCAAGGCGAGCAAAGCGGGACACCCACTTCCCCATCTGCGTGTTCTGCTGTGGCTGCTGCTCGAAGTCCAAGTGTGGGATTTGCTGCAAGACGTAGCGCCCACTCCTCAACACTCCCCCACCCTCCGCGGTACTTCCTGCGGCCCACCAGCGCGGGGCGAAGGGTCTGGCAATAAAAGCGCTGGTTACGTTCTTTTCCAAATGGGAGTGTCTGTCTGTTGTCCCTTCTTCCTGCCCATAGCCCAGGCCTCAGGTTTGCTCTGGCCCCGACCTCCCAAGGGCCAGTAAGAGTGAGTGAGCGAGCGAGTGAACGAGCG